GAACATTGGAGTGAGAGCAATAATTCTAGGGCCATCAATCACGGATAACACTAAATTAATGAGCGGTAAAAGCTTTTAAAGTGTCGCCTGTGGCCAATTTTGGGTATGGTAGTTTTCTGCAATGTCGCGGGTGCGCGCAATTTTAAAGCTTGACATGTTTGGTGTCTATTTACCCGACGTGACCCCGACTTTTATATTTTACCAAAAAACTGGGTAATAAATGTTTCCTAACATAATGTTAAAAAAAACTATTTTTTTCCAAAATTTTCAGTAATTTTTCTTAATTATAGTAAAAAATAAAACCCGTAGCGTTGATTAAATACCACCAAAATAAAGCTCTATCTGTCCCCAAAAAATGGTATAAAATTCATTTCAGTACAGCGTTGCATGACGGAATAAACGTCAGTCAAAGTATCGCAGCGCTGAATACTGAAAAATGGCCTGGCCAGGAAGGGGGTCTAAACACCTGGTCTTGAAGTGGTTAACTTGCCCTTAGTTTGCAGCTTTCCAATGCATCGTTTGATAGAAAAAGAAAATAAGGGCATGTTCACGGTGCACCTAAACCACCTCAAATTATATTAATCACATTCAATGTATCTCTATCCCCATAGAAAAAAATAGTTAGGCATACATCAATTAGGCCTGTTATCCTGATACATCATGATAGATCAGTATATTGCTTTTACCATAAACTTTCACAAATGTTCTGTAATCTAAACTGCAACTAGATTGTATCATTATATTTCATTCAGAATGCAAGTGCAGTAAATGTCCTTAGATCTTTGTATGTAGAAGACGTTTTTACAAATGTCTTTGTTGTGTTATTTTATTTTCTATTTCTATTCATTTAATTACTGTTGAAGCTTGTTTTACAAAACAGTTATTAGAATGTCTGCTGAAATAAGGACATTTTGCACGCCATATTTTAAAATATGTGATATTTAAGGGCTTGTTCAAACCAAGTGTAGAGCAGATGCAGAGCAGTTACAGAACGCATCAAAAATGCATCCAAGTTATTCCAAATGGTATTTTGGGCTCTAGTTCAGTTCCAGTGAATTGGAAAAGCTGCAGCATGTCCTATTTTTCTGCTCTGGAACGCACCAAAATGCATGCAAACGCCCTGGAACGCACTGAGGCCATGTTCACATCAAGCGCGGAGCAGGTGCAGAGCAGTTACAGACCGGAGCAAAACTGCGTCCAATGTATTCCAATGGTATTTTTAGCTCCAGTTCACATCGCAGCGTTCAGTTCCAGAGCAGGTTAAAAAACTGCAGCAGGCCCTATTTTACCTACTCTGGAACGCATGCATCAAAAACACATGCAAACCCCTGAAACGCACTGAAAGCCCATTTTAAACAAACAAAATTTTTTTTTAACCAAAACCGGCCCGGAACGCATCAAAAACGCGGCAAAACCCACTGCACTGCATGTGCAGAAACTCATGCAGATCTGCTTTGCATTTGGTGTGAACAAGGCCTGAAAGCCCATTTTAGGTTTAAAAAAATAATTAAAAAACGGCCCGGAACGCTGCAAAACACACTGCACTGCATGTGCAGAAGCTCATGCAGATCTGGTCCGCATTTGGTGTGAACAAGCCCTCAGTGTGTTTGATATCCTTTCTGTGCTTGATGAGGAGGTTATGTTTGCATCTGTGCCTTTTGCATTTCCAAGAAAACTTAAAAAACAGAAATGCAGTTTTGTTCTCTTGATTCTTTAGAATAGAGGCCATTTAATCTAATTATACAATCTTATTCATCATTATTACATGACTTTCACCTTGTTCCAGTTCCGCTATGCGATTTTGCAGTATGCTCAGTTCCTTTTCTATGTCCTGCTTGTCTCTTTCACCTGAAGCTGTTGATTGCTCCTTTTCAAGCTCTAGAAGTTTGGCTAGAAGTTGGGCCTCTAGCTCAAGCAACTTGGACTGAAGGGAGTCCCTTCCATGAAGAGGCGAAGGTGAAGTGGCTGTAGGCGAGGTCAAATTGTGCACTCTCTGCTGGATTTCCAGCTATGAAAGACAGGAACAAATTAGTATAGAACTAGTAAAAATATACATAATATTGACATGTCAGTTTTAGTCATGCATATTTCAAAAGCAGGTTTTGTCTACTGTCCTGGTGCACAACTTATAGCCCGGGAGCCACATAATTGGCAATAATTGCGTGGCCATTGAGGCCCCTGCAGATAGTAGTCTGTGCCAGCACAGGAAAAAATGTATAGCTGGTTTCTAGTAAAAAAAAATTCTGTGCTCTTAACCATTTGCTGTCCGGAGCATTTTCTTACTATTTGTGCACACATGATCAAATATAAATTTTTGGCTACAAAACAGCTTCAAACCCCCAAACAATGATATATGTTCTGAAAGCATAGGTCATGTAGAATAAAGAAATGCTAGTTGCAATTTTTTATGTCGCACGGTATTTGTGCAAATGTTTATCAAACCAGTATTTTTAGGATAAAATACACTAAATTAAAATTTAGTGCACAGAAACAAAATATAATACCCAATTTTTTTGTAAAATATGAAAGATGGGGTCAGGTCGGGTAAATAGATGCCAAACATGTCTAGCTATAAAATTGCATTCGTCCCTGAAGCCGTAAAAAATTTCAATACCCAAAATTTCCCATAGGGAACAATTTAAACGCTTTTAACGCTCATCAGTTTAGTGGTAACAGTGATTAATGGCTCTAGTTTTATTGCCCTCACTCCGACGTTCGCGGCAATATGCAACATGTGTAGCGCAATTGCACTTTCGCACATAGGCGCACCGACGCGTGTTTGCGTGTGTATGTTTCTGCATGTGGGGGGCATTTTCTTATATGTTACTTACATTTTTTTAATTTTTAAATACTTTTTTTTACACTAACCTTATTGCTATCACATTGGGGGCTAACAAGCCCCCTATGTAATAGCAGATAGGGTGTGACAGGTCCTCTTTATGGAGATACCAGGGGTCTTTTAGACCTCTAATGTCCCCTTGGGACCCCAAAGAAGCTGAGGCAGCAGAGATCTGCTGAATCTCCGATAGTTGCGGGAAAACCCGCAGAGCCGGTTCCAGGCACAGCACGGGGACAGCGGAGCCCGGGAAAACCGACGGCGGTCACTTGTACATTAACAGCCATCGCTGGCTGTTAAAAATGACACCAAGAACATGATTGCTGCAGCCAGGGCCGGCCTTAGGGCTTTAGGCGCCCTGTGCGAGAAAGCTTTACAGTGCCCCTCAGCGGCCACACCTATTTCTCCAATATCCGCACCATTTAAAGACTCCCATTTTGTTAAGCCCCAAATAAACCTTATTCAAAAGGTATTAAACTTGTAGGCACAATATAAGTATTCTTATTAAATAAAACAACAGTAGGCAAAAAAGTGGAAAACAATAAATGTCAAACTAAAATAGAACTAAAAATAAAGTGTCAGGTTGTCATGCAGATTATTTTCTTAAGTAAGTGCATCTAAAAAAGTAAAAATTAGAAACAGAACGCAAAACCTAGACTACGTGTTAAATTAATGAATTACTATTTGCCCGAATATACGAAAAATTCATTCAGACACATAATTTGTTTGAGAATGCGCGACGGCCATTTTGACCACCAGCGCGTTCTGCGAATGCATGCCACCATCTTGGAGACGGGGAGCATGACGTGACATGACGCCATGCATGCGTGGCGTCAGGCGACGTCACACGCCGATACAGGCACCTCCATCATGGTGTATACCTAGATATACACCAAGATGGCGGCGCTCGACATGTGCTGTGTCATATGACGTCATGCGCCCTGCCTCCAGAACACGTGTGTGTGGTAATTTTCACTTTTTTTTTTAAATAATTTTTTTTCCTTTTTACTGTTGGAGGGGTGGGGGGGGTGTGTGTAAGGATTTCATCCAGCTGCGATCACGGATTGATCGCCAACGACGCCCACTATTGCCTCGTCACTAGCAGTCTCCGCCCCAGCTGTCAGCATAAAACGGCATGGAGGGGAATGGTCGGCGTCTCAGTATTGTAAGCGGTACGCTGACCATTCCTGCAGCAGCCGAAGCAGCTAGACCTCAGCCTTACTGTCAGAACCACCAACTTGTGCCGGAGCTGTGCACACTACCTTACCTACCACAAAGCCTCTCTGGATTACATAGAGAGCCCCATCAAGAGCCTGCATCTGATCTCATTCAGCTGTCATGATCACTCCTGAGAAATCTTGAACTCACCTCTCCTAACAAGGAATCCTCTGCTATTTCTCTACAAACACTCCTGATTGTTAGCACTGCCAAACCGCAAGTATATTTGCAAAGTAAATTGCCCATGAACTTTGTGCAAATAGCATGCCAAGACTAACAAGCAGGCTCACAGATAAAACTACATTGGTATATCCTGTATGAATTAATACAGTTGCATAAGTTATTCCTACCTATTGTTTCCGTGTATTGTTTTGAGAGAGGGGTTTGTGTATGACAATACACCCACTGTGCATTACTTATCCGCAGCCAAGTTCCACAGAAGCCAAACCTCACACAACCTTACATAATACTGAGACCCTAAAATGGAGCTAGTGGATATCACTGGTCATGTAGTGAGCCTATCCCAGAGGATGGAAGCTCTCACTCAAACTGTTAAAGAATTACAAATTGAAAATCAAAACTTGCGTGCCTATATTTCTGAAAAACTAGCAAAACAAACCGGCTGCTGAGGCTCCCGATCCCAAGGTCAGCCCGCCAGATACTTTTTTCCAGAGACCGCAGTCATTTCCGCAAGTTTGTGAACGCAAGCAAACTTTTGTTTGATTTAAAACCCTGGACCTACTCCACTGTCTGCCTCAGGGTCTGTACCCTCATTTCTTATCTCAGAGGTGAACCCCCGAGCCTGGGCGGACACGTACCTGGAGAAAGAAGATCCTTTACTCGACTCCTACCCCGACTTCATTGAAGCCAGAATTACAGCATCTGAGAGAGTACTTGGAGGAAAACCTGAAGAAAGGATTTATTAGGCCTTCTACCTCTCCAGCTGCGGCGGGAATGTTCTTTGTGAAAAACAAAGATGGTAGCCTCAGAACCATCATCGACTACCGAGCTTTGAACAAGATCACTGAAAAAAAAATGTTATCCTCTCCCTCTCATTCCAGAACTCTTGGAAAGGCTACAAGCAGCCACTATCTACACAAAGCTGGATCTGAAGGGAGCATACAACTTAATCAGAATCAAACCTGGAGACGAGTGGAAAACAGCCTTCCGCACTAGATACGGATTATATGAATACTTAGTAATGCCTTTCTGCCTGTGCAAGGCACCCGCCACCTTCCAAAATTGTATAAATTATGTTTTCAGGAATTTCTACTAGAAGTATGTGTTGTCGGCTACTTGGACGACATCCTAATATACTCCACCGACATCACAGAACATCGGAAACATGTACGATGGGTGTTATCTAGACTAAGAGCCTATAGTTTATATGCAAAACTGGAAAAGCGCACGTTCGAGACCAAATCCATCACCTTCCTCGGCTACATAGTCTCCAACAACAGCATTCAGATGGATCAATCCAAAGTCGATTGTATCAGGGACTGGCCAGTGCCCCAAACTCTGGAAGCTGTACAAGGCTTCCTAGGCTTCGCCAACTTCTACAGAAAGTTTATCAAGAACTTCTCTGTCATAGTCAAACCCCTCACGAGGTTAACCTGTCCAAATACCAAGTTCGCTTGGAACGCTGATGCCCAAGTCGCATTCTCTGAACTCAAAAACCGTTTCACTTCAGCTCCCATCCTACGATTACCTGATCCAAAGTTGCTTTACATTTTAGAAGTGGACGCCTCCCAAGATGCTATTGGGGCTGTACTCTCTCAAAGAGAGGATCTCCTCAGTCCAATACACCCAGTGGCGTTCTTCTCCCGAACCTTAAATGGAGCTGAAAGGAATTACTCCATTGGTGAACAGTAATTACTGGCCATCAAACTAGCTTTGGAAAACTGGCGACACCTATTAGAAGGAACCTTTCCTGGTATACTCCGACCATCAAAACCTCCAATTCCTGAAGACATGTAAAACTCTGTCGTCCAGACAAGTCAGATGGAGCCTGTTCTTCTCTAGGTTTGATTTCATCATCACCTACCGTCCCAAGGCAGATGCACTGTCACGAATGGAGAAATTGCCCCCCCACACAAAGGGCAGAGATGCCTATCATTCCGCAAGAGAGAATTGTAGCCACTACCATTTGCCTTAAAGATTAACTCAAGAATGCACTAAGGGAGGAGAACTCCGCATCACCACCTGGCTTACTCACGGATGCCGAAGGGTTCCTTCTCAAGGGATCCAAACTCTACATACCATCTACAGTACAGATACAAATATTAAAGATCATGCATGACTCCACTCTCACTGGCCACCTGGTGGCCTGGTATGGCTGGCACTATTAGAGAGTATGTTGGCTCCTGTGAGGTCTGTGCCACCTCCAAACACAAAAGGTTGCCCTACGAGCTGCTGGTGAGTCTCCCAATTCCGGGAAGACCCTGGGAGTCTATTTCGCTGGACTTCATTGTCGACCTCCCTCCGTCCGAAAGCCACACCACCATTCTAGTAGCTGTGGATTTCCTAACCAAGATGGCACATTTTGTTCCTCTGAAACAACCCCCAGACTCCAAGGAGACTGCCACTGGGACCCAGCACAGAACCCTGAGGCACACCGCTCATTACACTAGCCCTGTCTGAAAAGGTGCCATTTACAGATACCCTCTGGACCCTTTGCCGTAGCCAGTTCTCTATCCATACACACACCACCTCATCTATGCCCATAGCTCTCAGCTTGTGTAGCAAGCGTTTGTGTGGTACCGTATCAAAAGCCTTTGAGAAATCCAGATATACCACATCTACCGGCTTACCTCCATCCATATCTCTACTTACCACCTCATAAAAAGTTAGCAAGTTAGTTAGGCAGGAACGGTCTTTCCTGAACCCATGCTGATTGTCATTAACTATCCCGTTTTCCTGAACAAATTCTACCAGATAATCCTTTATTATGCCCT